AGGTGCGGGAGTGCAGGTAGAGGCAGGTTGAAGCCATTCTCTCTGGGTGAAGATACTTGTCTTATATTCACTCTCACTCAGCAACATCCAGTTACTCTGAATGTCAGTACAGTGGTTCCCTGGTTTTCGAAGGTATTCCATTCGGGAAGACTGTTCAAGTTCTGAAATGTTGGAAAAGTGAGGGATCCACAGCGGAGAGCGGGGCCTTAGGATCTTGCCCTCAGTGGAAGCCGTGTGGCATGTTCGTCTTCTGAGGCATGTTCGAAAACCGAAGCATTTACTCCCAGGTTTACGGTGTTCGTAAACTGAAATGGTCATCAACAGAGACATTCGAAAACCGAGGCACCGCTGTACTTTGTTTCTTTTTCATTCTTCATCTTTCTCATTGTAAAAAAGTTGCAAAGTTCAGAAAAGTCCAAGGAAACAGGAAAAATGTCACCCATTATCTCTACCCTCGAGCAACTACTGTTGTCCAATTTAATGTTGGATTGTATAGTTGTCTCTGCACCAAGAGATCCGAGGCCGTGTAGATGTCCTGCCCCCCATCCCCAGGTCACAGGAACCGCACGCAGGTTTGCATGAGAGTGCTGGCCGGGCTTTGGGACTTTGAGCTCTGAAAAGGTTCTCTCAGGCTTTCCGCTGTGCTGCTGCTGAGCCAGAGCAGGGCTTCAGGGTATTCGGGGCACTTGCTTTAATGCCACGCCCTACCCTGGTGAGAAATCTGAGAGAAGGCTCCCCTTTCCACTCTGCACGCTGCCCACTGGGGGCGCTACTTCAAGAAGGCTGGTCTGCTGCTCCTCCCTGTGGCCACCAGCTCCCAGAGTACGGGGCAGCTTCAGGGGCAGAAGTGACAGCTGGAAATGCAGTGACATGCCATGACCTTGGGATGGTCCTACCCTCTCTGTGTCTTTGGTAAAATGAGATTGGACCTGGTGGTCCACAAACCCCTCTAAGTTCTAGAGAGACACACACACTCACTCACTCATACACTCCCACAGTTTTACATTTAGCTGGGTTTAAATCAGAAAGACAGTGTTTCTGTTGTCTGTTCTTACTTAAGAGCATTGACTCCCTCTGTATGTTATAGTTGCTTATCTTTGGCCTGCAGATATATTCTACATTCTTAACCACTTTGAGGCCCTGCCTTGGGTCCGTGGGTGTTTTCCTGAACAGAGCACATTTGAGGGGGCCTAGGGTGTGCATGGCCAGCACAGCCAGTCCAGGTTCCTGCCTTTGACTTCATGGAAGGTTTTGTTGGACAGTTGCACTGGGGCTGGTCAGGGCTGAGGGGTTGTGAGGCCTCAGAGGCTACCTGGACACACACAGCCCAGGGTTGGGGGAGGGGAGCTGGGCCCACCTGCACTGGCCCTAGGTCCCCAACCACCCTGCTTTCCCTGTAGTCTCCCATTTACAGAAGCTGTAATCATAAAGCAGGGCCTGATCTGCAGTGTTGCCTGGTATCAAAGTTGCTGTTCTTAGAGGAAAACGTTTTAATGAAATGCCTCACTTATTTGCTAGAGGTTCATTCGTCCTGCTGTTTGAGAAAGAAGTTTTCTAATTAACTGAATTTTACAGACAAAAATTACTGGTTTAAATAGCAAACATGCAGAGTTTTGATTGTTTCGGTAGAACACCTTGTCACATGTAGCATGATGTCACTCCCTACACCCCTTCGGCAGATCCCTGGTCAGCGTAACTCCCTGCTTCTGCCTGTGAGCTGCCCCTGCTCTGGTCTGCAGTGGCCCACAGTGCCCTACTGTGCCCTTCTCCTTACCTGTCCTATCCTCCCGGTTGTTATTGCTTCCAGTGTGGGCAGGACAGGAAGCCAGAGAAAAGAGCTGCTTGGGTTCCTAACAGAAGAGTAACTAGACCTGATTGGTGGGTTTTCTTTGAATAAAGCCTGAATGTTACGTATATGATTATTTCACAGCTGTTTGGGCTGCTCTGGGCTATTCTTTTTGGCCAAAGTTTGGGTCCTTGTGCTTCAGGTAATTAGGGTGGGTAACTTACCAGCAGGAGCTTCTATATTGTGTTAGAAACTCTCAGGATTGGTTCTGTCCAGAGAATTGGTATTATCTCAGCTCCTATGTCACTCTGGTGGTCAGCATTACTCACGGGTGGACCTTGGCAACACGGCACTGTGGTGGCAGTTCTGGATGTGCCTGTGCCATCTTGTCCTGCACCCCAGGACGGGTCCCTGCCCTGTGTGGGGCTGGGTTGTGGGCACAGTGGGGGGTGGAGGGAATTTTAGCCCAACATTGCCGGCTCCCTAGGAAGAGAGGCATTTCTAGGGAAAAGTCTTTAATTATACTTTTAGTACAAACCCATTTAAAAACATTGAGAAAAGGAGCAGTAACCAGGAGATGAGATTTCACTGATGTCTCTCCCTCCCCTTCACCCTCCGCTTTGCGCAGCAGTCTTCCTTCTGCAACCTGAATTATTGCTGTGTCATAGGTCAGTGTCCACAGTGCTGAAGGGCTTAGGACAGATGGCAGCGGTCCCTAGCAAGCGGTGCAGTTGACTCTTGAACAACGCGGGTTTGCACTTATGCGCAGGCCGTATAGGTGGACCCGCACAGTTCAAACCCGTGTTGTTCAGGGGTCCAGGGCGTCTGTTTTCTTCCCTGGCCCCTGCAGTGACCACTGTGACACCATCTCTGCAGGCACGCTGGGCGTGAGAGGCTGCACCTGGGAAACGTGCAGGGCCTGAGTAGGCCTTGTCACATCAAGTCTTCTCCCAGGCTTGCATGAGGCACTTACCTAAGAAATGTGCACTTCCCTTCCTATTGAAATGGGACGACAGAAGGTGTGTGCTTTCCTCGAGGATGAGGGAAGCGACCCTTCCAGTGGCTGCGGAGGCCCCTGCAGAGTCTGTCACCCAGCCTTCGCTTTGTGATCCCTTCGTCTGCATGTTTGTGTTGCTGTTTCCTTCCCCTCTGTTCAGTTGGCATGGCCTCTAGTTAGGTGTCCTTTCAGCTTCCCTATCCATGCTCAGTGGTTGCTTGAAATCTCGAGTGTCATCACTTCCATTCCTGGAGGAAGCAAGATGAGAACAGGTGGTGAATGAGAGACACGGGACTCACCTGTCTGCAGGTGAACACCTCAGGGGCCTTCTCAGCGTCCATCCCATCTGCCTCTCCAGACGAGGGACCTCTGCACAGCTGACGGGGCTCTGAATGGCTGAGACACTAGTGTAAATAGTTATAAGGCAGAGGGAACCAAAGCCTGAAATCAGCCCCTACAGGGTTCTGGTGTATGTGCTACTACTGTAAATAAGCCCCTTATCCCCAAGGTTCTTGGTTATTTTTCCATCAGAAAGTGTGAGATACTTGGAGGTGTCATAATTTTCTATGCTCTCTAACATTATTTTTCAATTGTTTAAAAGCTTCAGTTACAGTTAAACCAAGATTTGAGCATCTTGCATCAAGACGATGGCTCATCCAAGAACAAGAGGGGCGTCCTGCCGAAGCACGCCACCAGCGTGATGCGGTCCTGGCTCTTTCAGCACATCGGGGTAAGACCTCCATTCCCCACGGGTTAGCAGCACCCTCCGTGAGGCTTCTTTCTGGCTTGTTTTCTAGAAAAGAGTTGCCTGTATATGCTAATAGGCCTGGTTTTAAGTATCTGTATTTTGTTGTTGAGTCAGGGACAGAGGGAGGGTTACCCACATAGAGATCTGTCACCCAAAGTGATGTCAGGGAGCAGCCTGCCTGGCCCGTTTCTGCCACCTTATGTAGCCAGCGGGGACGGGGGGAGTTCGTAAACTCTCCATGCCTCAGCTTCCTCATCTGTAAAATTAAGGTGACAACAGTGTCTGTCTCAGAGGTTGATGGTGAGGAACCAGAGAATTACTGTAGAATATGCAGATGTGAGAGAGGCATGCTGTGCCTGCTGCGCCAGAGGCTTATAGGTCCAAACCCCACCGTTTATCCACTGTAAGTGGATGCAGTTTATGGTTCATAAATTATACGTCAGTCAAGTTGATACAGAAACTATAGATATACCAGGCGCTTAGAAGAGCACCCAGGTGATAGTGCTTGGAGGTGTCACCATTGTCATCTGCGAGCCTCAGGCTGAGCGTCTAACTACCATTGCCTGGGCTTCAGCCAGCTGCTGCCTTACCGGGCACTCCTGGGTGGCCAGGAGAAACACGGGATTCTGTTTGGGGAATTTCTAAAAAAACAAAAACATGCAACTAAAGTTAGGTTTTAACTGAAAGCAGTACTGATTGGTACTTTCGGTTAAACAACCAAATGATTATTTGTATGCCTCTATTTACCTAGAAAATCCTGAGTTCCTTTGTAAAAACTGAAGTTCATGGTAACCCTTCTTTTTCTTAGCATCCCTACCCCACAGAAGATGAGAAGAAACAGATTGCTGCGCAGACGAATTTGACACTACTCCAGGTGAACAACTGGTAAGCATGCTGGCTTTTTGAAACTGTGCCTGTCAACATCAGAGACACTTGGGAACACTCACACTAGTAACTAGTAAAATTGGTTGAAAATGTGAGTTCCTTTAACTAGCAACACTCTATTTTCGGGGTGCTGGAACAGGTGGCAGATACTTAAGAATAAATCCACAAACACTTTTTTGAGAAGGAAGAGAGCAGGTGAAGTCCCCTCGTGGTTTTACCATGGTTGCTGGTGTGTGTCAGACAGCTTAGTGACCTAGAACTTCATCGTCTGAGAAATCGCTCATCAGGCGGAATAAGCTGGAACTCCAGCTGCAGACCATGCTCTGTGATCAGGCCGGAGTCAGCTTGAAGGCTCGGTTATCCACACTCAGTACCCGGCTGTGTGGGACAGGCAGGCGCAGACACAACCAGGCTGCAGGGGACACAGTCTTGCTGCTTTAACCTGTCTCTCCCTTAGAGAAAGTGACGTCACATTCACAACTTTGACAGTATCATCAGTGTCATATGAGTATTAAATTCACAAACATGGACTAAATCAGTTAAAGTAAAAAAAAGGGTAACAGAGGAATTGCTCTTTATTCAAATGAATTATTTTAAAAACAGCCTGCCCTCTTTTTCTGGACACTTCGGGAATATGCTTGTCACTACTCTGAATACCTGTTGTAACAGAGAGCGTGAGTTACTCTGATCGTTTCTGTGTGGTTTATAAAGCAGCTTGTTTACTGGAAGGACTTGGTCACTCCTGCGGGCCTTTGAAAAGGCCGTTTTGATGAAAGTTCGTCCTTTGTCGACTTCTGTGCTCAGGTTCATCAATGCTAGAAGACGAATTCTTCAGCCGATGTTGGATTCTAGTTGTTCAGAAACTCCAAAAACAAAGAAGAAAACTGCTCAGAACAGACCGGTTCAGAGGTTTTGGCCGGACTCCATTGCATCGGGAGCCACCCAGCCGCCGCCCAGCGAGCTCACCATGTCAGAAGGTACGGGGGCCGGGGCGCAGGCGGGTGACACCGCCGGGCAGGGGGTGAACCGTAAGCTCCGTCACTTCCTGTGAGTTTAGGGAACACGAACCAAGGTGTGTGTAGGTGTCTATTTCTGCATCTAAAACGTGAGGAAGCGTCATCCTGGGGCCTGTGTAAAGGGTCTGAGAGGACACCCACAACACGTATGAAACACGACCCACACCAAGACCCAGCGTCGACAGTGTGCTGTGGCCTGTGGCCTTCAGCCTTTCTTTTCCCTTGACTCTGGACAGCAGATGGCACTGTCATCTCCTCTCCACCTGGCCCTTTGCCCTCTTTGCCCTTGTAGTCCTCTCTGCCCTTTGACCTGCACAACCCCTGACGTGTTCAGTGCACATCTGTCTGGCAGGCACGTGTGCACATGTAGACGTCATTGGTAGTGTTATGGTGTCGTTCTTTCCTTTCATTCTCCTTTTCACTCAGCAGCGTAACTGTTAAGTTAGGAAAGTTTGGGGCATTATTTCTTTAAATACACTTTTCTCCCCCTGCCCTTCAGCAGCTCCGTTGCCTGTCCGTCAGGTGGTTAAAAGTCACACTGTTGCAGACACTCTTTCAGGTTTTGGGTTCTGTTCTCTGTCTCATTGTGGGTTGTTTCTGGTCCCACCCATCAGCTGTACCATCTCTCTCTTCTGCCAAGTTGAATCTCCCTCTGATCCCATCCAGTGTGCTTACTATGTGAAACACTGTAGTTTTCATCTCTGGACGTTCTGTGTCTCTCTCTCTCTCATGGGTCTGCCCATGAGTAGTTACAATCACTGCTTCATGCTACTCTCTGCTGATTCCACCCCTTGTCAGTTCTGGGTCTTGCTTTTGTGATTGGTTCTTGCTCCCAGACGTGCTCAGTCCCAGGCTGATCACTCCCACAATCATATAGGACCTGGGAGTGCTCCACCCAGTCTCCCAAGCGTTGGGTCTGTCCACCCTGGCTCGTGAGCTGTAGACACTGCTCTATAACCACCTCAGATGATCCTTTCCCCAGCCCTGGTCGTTTCCCTGCACGCACGTGCCAATCTGTCCTCTGCCTAGCGCTCAAGGCATTCATTCCACAGTTAAGCTGGCCGGGCTGGGCACGGGCCCTCCCAGTGGGCTGTAAATCAGGCTTATTTGTTTCCATTTAACGCCTCTTGAGCTGTAGTGTATGCTTGTAACCTTTGGCTTATGTGGGTTTTTGATATGTAGTGATCCTACGTTCATATTCAAGTAATTTATATTTTCAGTGTTTATTTTCTTTTAATCCAATAATCAGTTAGAAAGGTATTATTTCTCTCTCTTCCTCTCCTCCTCTATTGGGGGAGAGGTTAAAACAAGACTATCCAGTGAAAAGAAATCTCCTTCCGCCCTGATGTCTGGTCTTCTCTAGAGACGACCTTGTTCCGTTTCCTACACGATCTCCCAGTGCATGCAATACGGTGACTGTGCATAGACAAGAATGAGGGACCCCTTTCTCCAAATTCAGCATACACAGTGATATCTCCTCTTGCTTTCACCACTTATTAATACACTGGAGACTTTTCCAGGTGAGCGCCTGAGAGTCACTGCAGTTCCCAGACAGGCAGGGACAAGCACAGCCCTTCAAACTGGCCTCACTCCAACCTTCCCAGTTATGTCCATGTGGGCCTTTCTCCTGCCTTCTCTGGTCTCTGTTCTCCTTGTGGCTCTGTTTCTGTCCTGACCCCTGAGACATTCAGCAAGGGGCCTGAGGCCAGTTCTAGAGAGTTTCCTCAATCCCTGTTGAGCATCCCAGAAACACAAGGCTCTTAACGAGAGGTCACATAAGCAGATAGGACCCAGCTGGGTGACAGTGTTTTCCTCCATTGAGCACTAATTTGAATAGTGACCACCACGTTCTGCGGTTCCGCCACAGGAGCTGTTGTGACGATCACCACACCCGTGAGCATGAACGTGGACAGCCTCCAGTCTCTGTCCTCGGATGGCGCCACCCTGGCCGTGCAGCAGGTCATGATGGCGGAGCAGAGTGAGGACGAGTCGGTGGACAGCCCGGGGGCTGGAGGGGCTGCGCTCACCCCCGCCCACATCAGTGGGCTGGTTCTGGAGAACAGCGACTCCCTGCAGTAGGGCCACGGCCGGGACCCAGGGCAGCCGGGACCCAGGGCAGCGGGCCTGGCTTTTTACAGTTTGCACAGCAAACATTTTACACAGTTTTATTTCTGATCTGTTTTATATGTAGATATAGAAGAGTGCACTTTTGTATTCATAGCAAGCTTCAAGAGCGCCTGTGCCGGTGCAGCGACTTCTTTCAAGGGTGTGCGTGTGGGTTTCAAGGAAATTTTTTCAAGGTTTAACGCTAAAAATGTGATGAATGACAAACAGCCTGTGAGCCCCTAATTAGATTAAGGAGCATTTTTTAAAAATTATGCGGTTTTAATATCGTTCTGTGGCTAAAGCAGGTCTCCGTGGGTGACCTTGGTGTAGCCCACAGGTTTAAAAGAAGCTCCTGCACCTTAAAGCCGCCAGCTCGAGGTGGACAAGACAGGACAATAGAGCGATGTGACTCCCGGTGAATGTACGGCACCTTCAGTACCTTTACGTTCTCATCGTCAGTGAGCTGTTACGTTTGCTATATATAAAAAGAAACGCCTATTTTTACCTTGCTGGAGTTATTGGATAAAGAGCTATTTTTATAAATTCGTTATGAATTGGATTATGACTATTCCAAGGATAAAATTTCTAGAGAAGAAACCACATACGCTACGATTTCAATTTGGAGTGTCCTGAATTGACCAAATTTAATGAGCCTGCCCCAGGATAGCTAGGGGGGTGATTTACATTTACTACTATCAAAGAAACAACTATTTAATGAAATTTTGGTATCTTCAAATTTTCGTTTATATGTAAATGCTCAGATTTCATTTCTCACTTAATCTAAACATATATCTAAAGGTATTTGCTAAGTAGGACTTAGTTCAATGAATTGGTAGCCAGTAATTAGTTAAAGCTCTTACCATACATATTTCAGTCTAATTTAAATTTGACCACAGTTAAGTGGTGACTGTACCATGTTAGCTGTGTATTTTTTAGAATTTTTTAGTCATCCATATGTTATGCATAGAATGTTTATCATAAACTAATATAAAATGTCCTCTATCCCACTGGCTCAGAGCTGGGGTGAATCACAAACATTCAGCCTCGCTCCACAATCAACAGATGCCATGAAGTGGCAGAGACGCGGGGGACGTGCTGAGGAGCCACGTGCGCTCCCGCCGTTGGCCACACATGTCACCGCTGGTCCTGGGGCGAGATTTTCTCCTTGTGCATGTTGCTCTAGAATTGCCAGAGGTGTGGAATAATGTTGGGACTTCGCTTCCTGGTGACAAGATGAACCAAATTCGTAGACCCGGTTCTGCTGACTCTGGTTGATTTGTTTTCATTTGCTCGCTTGCGAGTGGGGCTTTCTCTCAGAGAGCGAGCGGGCAGCCTTGTCTCAGAGCAAGTCTGGATGTCCTCTTACCTGGGTTGCTGGAGTTCAGCACGTTCCTAAAGGTTCCTAATGGTTGGAACGTTGTTGGTTCTTGAGATCCAACAATAGTTGACTGGTTAGGGAACAGGGCTACTGTGAGCAGCATTCAGAGCTAGTGCAGGTTTTTTCTGCGACTGACTTTTCCTTAAAAATTTATTAATTAAAGTTAATCATAGGAAAGTACTTCCTAGATAACCTAGAAGGCAGAAAGAAATAATAGAAATTTCTTTTAAAATATTTCAGGAGCTTTAAAAAGAAAAACTTGACTATCAACTCTTGGGGAGGGAAGACAATTTTAAAGCAACTATCGCATTTCTTATTTTATAAACAGTTTTTAATATCTTAAGTCTACATAACTTTAAAAGATCATTTTAGCTTTACTTAAATTCTAATCTTGCTGGACTTTTCAAAAACGATCTGTGGAAGCCAGCCCTCTCCTCCTTCCCCTGCCCTCCTTCCTGTGGAAGGTTTAGTGAAAACATTGAGAGAATGTGGGCTCCTAAAGGTCATTGTCTCTCCCCCTACCAGACAGCATGGCCACTGGGGCAGCAGATTGTTAGCCGAGGGCCACACACACTGTGTCAGTTTGGATGCGGCCGATTCGGGGTTCGAGTTGGCTTGGGCTCAGGCTTCCGTGCCCAGTGACACCGTGTGCGCCTCGGCAGCCAGAGCCAGTGCCCTTACCCTGAGTTCTGTTGCTGCCTTCAGGGGACTAGGGTAAGGTCACTTAGAGAGCATGCTCTCATGGACAGACACAGCCGGAGGTTTTCCTAACCTCTCCCCCTATAACCACCTGACCTGGCTGTTTGGTTCATAAAACCGCTGTCCAGTACACTGGTTGTCAGTTCTGCCTTATCAACACCCGTTTTCCAGACATTGGAATCTGTGAAAGTACCTCTTCCGTTGAGCTTTCGTTGTAAACAAACAAATCCTTTATTCTAGTTCAATTCTTTCCTTACGAAGGATGCTTTGACTGTGTTTGAGACCCCAGGTAAGCATGTTGTCCCTGCTGCTCAGCTGTTGAGCAGGTAGCTGGACTGCATTGCCACAGCCAGACACTCCAGCTGATGGACTAGCCCAGCTTTCAGCCTCTTGGTTCCAGACAGTAAAATACATTTAAGCATTTATCCTGTGTGCAGGCACATGGGCCGTGGCCCTAGCTCGTTCACAGGCCACAGAGCAGCGTCGCCCAAGCCTCACACCCAAGGTTTCAGGAGTCAGTTCTGTCACCTATCAGGTGACCCGACTGACCTGTGTGAAAAGTGTTGGGGCACTTTCTTCTTTCAGACAGACTCAGACATACCCAGGTGTGACAGGCCAATTTTTTGCAGTGAGTGACAGCAGTGACTCGGCAATCTTCTTGTTTTAGTTATGTTTGGTCTATGAACTGACAATCTTTAAAACGTGAATACTGTAACAATGTTTTCTTGGATTGTTGTCTTTAAAGGGGATTTTTGTGAAGCAATTGATTTATCAAAGCAAAAAAATTAAAAATAGAAACATGCTTTACGGATGTTTTATTTTCTAAAGCTCATGTCACCGCAAGCTGCTTTTCCATTTTAAGTCATACATTCAGGTTGTTGACATGTTTTGCTGGTGACAGTTGGGGTTTGTGGTGGCCCCTGGACATTTTTAAAATTAGGACAACCCTGCATGGGAGCCATTTAGTGTCAAGAATCTTCAGTTACTTCAGTTAGTCATTGGTTTTCCAGAAAAAAATTAGAAAGTTTTGTTTGTTTGATTTATTGTATTTTATCGTAAATCTGATTATTTCAATAGTAAGAAGAAAATGATTGATGAGTAAGGTGCTGCCTTTCACAGTTCCTTTCGTAAACTGGAAATCCAGGCAGCCCCTGGGCACCCTTTAGAGGGACGTTAGAACAATTTCAGAGTGGTGTTTCAGCTCCCGAAAGCTGTCCGCTTAGAGGCTAACATGAGAGTACTTTTTAGAAGTGCATCTAAAATTGCTAATCTTGTAGATCAGGACTCATGGCGATGAAGTGTATTGTCTCAGGAAGTGTTCTGATTGATTTGACAGAAAACGGAGTCACTGTGTCGTCACTCCAACTCCTTTAGGTCAGGGGTGAGAGGGTGGACATGAATTTAACCAGGTAAGGCCACAGCAGTATTTCCAGTCCTGTGTGTTTTTTTTGTTTGTTTTTTTTCAAATATATCTTTATTGATTTCAGAGAGAGGAAAGGAGAGGGAGAGGCAGAGATAGAAACATCAATGATGAGAGAGTCATTGATGGAGCCTACAACCAGGGCATGTGCCCTGACCGGGAATTGAACCCCGATCGCCTGGATCCTAGGTCGACGCTCAACCGCTGAGCCACGCCCGGCCGGGCCAGTCCTGTGTGTTTTTTAAGACTTTGTCCATCAAGTGAACCCCCTCCTCTTGAAACTGAACGAGGTTTTGTTTCCACTTTAACACCGAAGCAGCATGAGGTAGCTGACACTGGTGACAGAGGTTTAGACCAAAGGTGGACGGCTTTCACTTGGCTTTCTTGGGACGGTTGGTTGCCCTTGGGTCCCGGCCACCATGTTGTAAGGAAGCCCAGGCCACATGCAGAGGCTGTGGGTGGGGTTTCCAGCCAGAGCCACCATCAACCCGCAGACATGAGAGCGAACGAGTTCACAGAGACAGCTGTCCCTGAACTTGCGTGCTGCTCAGAGTGCAGACATGTGAGCAGAGAACTGTGGTCGGTGCTTTCTCACTGGAATAGCTTGTTAAGCAGCCTCTCTGTGCTCTGCAATGCTGGGGTGGGCCTGTTTTCCTTCTTCGTGGCAACACTGGCCTCTCAGGAGCCCACCTGTGGACCCATGAGAGCACTCAGTGAGCCTAGTCAATCCGGAGACTGGTTCTGGTCACTATTCCCCCACTTTGCTGTTGGGTGAAGGGAGGGCATTTCAAGGAAGCTTAGAAGGGAGTGGGCTGCACGTCCCACCGCTGCCACCAGACACCTGCTTCGTCCAGGGTGCAGTGCTCAGCGTGAACAGGTAGCAAGGAGGTTCTGTTCCAACACCTTTGGACCCCTACTTAATATATTTATAGTCCAACCCCGTCACAGGTGGGAAATAATCCCTGTCATGTCTGAGGTGCTCCTAGTCAGCCGGGGAGGTGGACATGAAGGAGACACCAGCCCCAGAGGGAAGGGCCAGGTGGCTGTGAACTATATCACAGAAGCCAGGTTGAGTTAATGAGAAGACTGAACCATAAAACACAGTAATAGGCCTGTTCTGTTATTAAGATGCTTAAGGAATGACTCATTTGCAAACCAGTGTTCCTAAAACGAAGTGTTTGGAGCCTAATTTAAATACCTGCCCAGTTGTAAGGAGCAGCATCGGTGTCCTTCCAGTGTGCTGCTCAGTCTGAAGCAGTTTGTCGTCTTAAGTAGGTTACATGTGACCTTGCACTGCATTCTTGCTAGACACTGCCCAGCAGGCCCTTTTTCTTTTTAAACAAACAGCACATACACGGCCACCACCCCTCTCCACTGAGCCCAGGGCACTGGCTTCCCCCACAGGAGGCTCCTGGGAGCTATCTGTGCCCTGCCCAAGGGATGCTTCAGGTGGAGGGCAAGGAGCCTGAGCTAATGAAAGGCGGCAGGGGTGGATGCCAAGTAGGTCGACAGTGTTCCCAACCTGGGCAGTGTCCCCCTGCCACAAGGGCTTCAAGACCCCAACAGGAGCATAAGGAAAAGCAGTGTATCTGGTCACCCACACCCCCATGGCCAGGACTCTGCATGGATAGCCTGTTTCCTTCACCCCTCGAAGAATCACTCCTGGGCTGTCTCTCAACTGTGATCTGCTGTCCGGGGATCTCCCTTTCCTCGTCATTCCGGAGGCACCCTCCACAACCTCGCCTGGTGGAGCCTGTTTTCTCTCCCTTGTTTTGGTGGGTGCACCTTCCAGTACTTTCCTGGGCAAGGAGGCCACTTGCCTTGGTGGAGGCATTTGCCCTCCGTTGTTAAGGGAGAAAGTGCTTGATCAAGGGTGGGGCCGCCATCCAGTCCCTTCAGATGTTCTCACGCTCTGCTCCCTGGTCTCCCAGCCTCCATGTGCTGGAGACGGAGACGTCAGATCCTTTCTCATCCCAAGATTCTCTGTTTCAGCCCGGTTTCCCCACCTCTGGAAGCTTTTTTTTAGGTTGTCTTGTTCCAAGTGATGGTCATGATGTTCTATGTGGCTCCTCTCAATCTGAAAAATCATGTCTTTCAGTCTGGGGCAGCTTCTTGAATTATTTCCTTTTTCTTTTTCCTTCCTGGAGAATTTTAAAGAATTTCAAAGAATTGCAAATATAAAAAACATGAAGAAAAATACATCATGGTGCATCATGATTTCTAAAAACGATACTGAAAATGAAGATGGAGAACTGCACACTTCCTGATTTCAAAACTTACTACAAAGCTATAGTAATGAAAACGGTGTGGCACCAGCACATGGATAAACATATAGACCAATGGAATAGAACTGAGAGTCCAGAAACAAGACCATACATCTATGGCCAATTGATTTTCAGCAAGAGTGCCAAGACCAGTCAGTGGAGAAAAAATGTCTCTTCAACAAATGGATGTCCACATATGTAAAGGGATGACAGTGGACCCCTACCTCACACCATGTACAAAAATTCATTCATAATGAGCCAGCTTTGAGCTAAAAGTATAAAACTCTTAGAAGAAAATAGCACATTTTCATGATCCTGGATTTGGCAAAGAGTCCTTAAGTAGAATTCCAAAAGAAAAAAATAAATTGGATTTCATCAAAATTAAGAACTGTTGTGCCCCAAAGCTTATCATCAAGAAAGAGAAAAGACACCCGACTGAATGGGAGAAGATATTTGCAAAGTCATTCAAACCAATACTTGTACATGAACGTTCATAGCACAATTCACAACAGCCAGAGAGTGGAAACAACCTAAGTACCCATCAGTTGATGAGTGGATAAACAGTGTGGCATATCCACGCAGTGGACTGTGCGGCCATAAAAAAGAATAAAGTACTGATACCTGCTACAAAGTGAACGCAGAAAACGTGTTACGTGAAATAAGCCAGACACAAAAGACCCTAGGTTGTGTGATCCCATTTATCTGAAGTATCCCAAGTAGGTAAATCCATATAGAAACAGAAAGCAGAGTAGTGGTTGCCAGGAGAGTCGGGAAGGGGGGACGGGGTGACTGCTTAAGGGGGTGATCAAATGTTTTGGAACTTGACAGAGGCGGTGGCTGAACATCGTGAATGTAATAAATGTCACTGAATTGTACATTAAAAATGTGTTCATTTTAGGTATGTGAATTTCACTTCAATTAAAAATACCCCACAAGTGACTCTAACAACCCACCCCCGAGCACTCAGCGCTGCTGTGTGAGGGCCACTGAATCGATCCACACTTCCTGAGCCCCCTTTCTGCTGCTCCCCTTTCTGGATTCTTCTCTGGAAAAGGCTCCTCTTCTGCCTCAGCCCACTCTGCCCCAGTCCTTGCATGGTTCATCCACCCGGCTGAGTTCCCTTTTAATAAGATTTCCTTGTTGAAACATTTTTCAAGAGAGTTAAAGAAAAGCACATTCTAATAAACCATAGATTCACCCACGTGTCAGGTGTTAATTAAAGGGAAACTGTAACATTTCCACTGGCCTTGGGCTAAGTACCCTACACCTGCTCCTTGCTGCCCATAGCAGTGGGGCAAAGCCCAGCACCAGGCAGTTAAACGGCACACAGGCTTGTTTAGTGTGAGAGCAAAAGAGCAGGTGGTGTGTGCGGGCTTAGAGCTGGGCTGCGGCCCCGCCAGCTCTGGGTTCCAAGGCACTTGCTGACTTTGTCTTCCGGTCTCGCTCACGGGCAGCCACGAAGTTGAGCAGGTCAATGGCGGTGACGACCCCGAACACCATCTGCCTCTTACTGGACTTCCCGTGGCTGTGATCTGGGGAGGGAACAAGGCAGCGGATTAAAGGCACCTCCACATGGAGCAGCACCCAACCCCGGGCACTGTCAGAGGCTGAACCACAAAATGTGGCCCTGGGGGACCAGCCCTGAGCCTGCCCCAATGCCTACAGGCACCTGTGTGCTATGGGAACCCAGGCAGCACCCACGGAAGCCCAACAAAGCTGCCTTCTGATGGGAGCCATCTGGGCGAAGCTGTAGAGAGCAGCATGCTAATCTCTCTGAGCCATGCCCACTGACCGCACGCCCGGGGGCCTCACTGATTCAAAGCAGCCTGTGGGGCTGTCAGGGTGCCAAGGCTCAAGTCTAGGCGTGAAATGCCTACACCAAGCACACCCACGAGCTGTCAGCTCACATCTCTGGCCTGTGATTGTCTCCAAACCCATGCTGTTCTCCTGGGCTTAGAATGAATGCTAGCCCCGGCCCCCTGAAGAGCAGAGAGGATTGTTGAGATGGTTCTACTTGACTGGGCCACAGAGTGCCCGGATTTGGTCAAACATTATTCTGGGTGTTTCTGGATGAGATCAACATTTGAATTGGTAGACTGAGTAAAGCAGATTGCCCTCCCTGGTGTGGGTGGGCCTCATCCAATCAGTTGAAAGCCTGAATAGAACAAAAAGGCTGATGCTTCCCAAGTAAGAGAGGACTTTCCCAGCTTGTGGACTCAAACGGAAACAATGGCTCTTCCTGGGTCTCAAGTCTGCCCACTGCCCCTGTAGATCATGGGAGCTGCCAAATTAGTCATGTGAGCCAGTCCTTTCTATACACACATCCCACTGGCTCTTTTTCTGGAGAGCCCTGACTGAAGGTCGTCAAGCACAGAGCCTGGGGGAGCTGAGGGGTGGGTGGAAAGTACCCAGGTCACATTTTATCCTGCCAGACCCCACACCAGCTCCTTATGGCCACCTGTCCCTAGGGTAGGGGTGGGGGGGTACAGAGGATCCAGGAACCCTGCTGACCCAATCAAAGCACAGAAAATAAGGAGAGCCCAGAGGAAACCAGCTCCCCACGTTTCAGGGACTTCAGGGGATAGCAGCACTTTGGAGAAGTGTGTCCCCCGCAGGGGAGGGTGGTCTGTGCTGTTTCTGCAACCTGACCCTCGGAGACTCGTGCACAGCGGAGTCGGCCACCTTTGTAAAGGGCCAGAGTCTCTGTTACAACCCTGCAGCTCTGCCAACAGCAGGAAGGCAGCCATGGACAGGGTACCAGGCGTGGCTGTGCCCACGGACACTTCATATATGGACCCTCGAATTGGAATTCATTCTGGGGGATGTTAAAAAATGAGGGAACCCTCCCCACCAGCTCTGGGGTCTGGGACGCCGGACGCCCTCCTCTGCCCTCGGAGTTCTGACAGCAGAGCCATTTCCGAAGAAGACAGCGGGCGTACATACCTGCAGGCCCCCCCACCACTCCTGCCAAGGCCTGGTCCCGTGCTGTGGAGCCAAGGACGGGAGAGGGGTTAGGCTTGGCCATCAGGCCTTGAGACAACCCTCAGCTGGGGGTGGGGAGCAGGCTCCAGGGCACTCCCGATTCTCATGATTCCTACGACCCTCACCCTTATGGGCACCCAGGCCTGGCCCACAGAGGGGTCCTTCTGAGAGCACAAGGCTGGGGGTGGCTGAAGGTCAGCACCACTGACTCTTAACGCCTGTGAGGCAACAGGGCCTCGCCGCCCCACAGGAACTCATGGCAGCAAAGGGCACATGGACACCTGGGACCGGGCCTCGGTGGCCAGCACCTCCAAGGCTCCCCACCCTGCCCCCAGCCCCACTTACACTGGATCTGCTCGTGGACCACCAGGGCGAAGTGGTCCATCTCCAAGATGCGCGAGAGCGCGCCCAGCGGGTCCGTCAGGTGGATCTGGAAGAGAGGCCGCTGTCAGCGGTCACCGGGGCAGCCCGCCGGGCCCTCCGAGGAGAGGGGCGTGATGGGACCTGAACTAGGCGGACAGCGTATGCTCCTGCCGTCTCTCCTCGTAATGGGGGGGGGGTACTGCAGGGACCACATGACAGGTGACGGCACTGGGGATGGAAATGGCGAGAATATATGGATTCTGGTGACATTTCAGCTGTGTGTGTGAGAGAGAGAGACAGAGACCAGGAGGGAGAGAGGTCAAGTTCTCTCTTAGGTTGGGGCTCAACCCTAGTCCCGCTCACTGGGAGATCGGAGAAGGGAGGTGTGAAGCCGAGACCAGAGAGAGGGACACCCCGATGGCACTGCCTCAGGGACACCAAGAGCAGCGTCCAGTTGGCTCTGCTCAAGCCTGTCAGAGGGTGGCCAACACTGTCCCCAGACAACCTTGGAGGTCTGGCCATCCCCAGCACAGCAAGGGTACTTCTCCCAGGACATCCCAGTTCTTACTAAATCGTTAGGCGTGCCCGGTGTTCTTAAATTAATGCTTCACAGAGAAAAGCGAGGGCCCAATGTTACGAAACTGACCCCCGGACGCGGCCATAATATGGTGGGTGCGGGCCAGCCTCATGGAGACGGGGGGCTTGCAAAGCTGGGGCGAATTCTCAGGTGTGTGGGCTCCAGGAGGGCGCAGCCAGCACTGGCCTAGCTGGCACGGGGTGCAGAGGGTCAGAGGCCGGGGACCTGCCCTGGTGCACAGGAAGCGCTGTGTCCGGCCTCAAGGACAGAAGCAGGTCTCGGCACCACAGCGCCAGCGAATCGGAGCCGTACCTGTTTGAACTGCTTGTAGAGGACTTTGTGAACTTGGTCTGACGGCTGCACCTTCCCAGCGAGCAGGCAGGACAGCATGTTCCCCAGAGTCACCATCCCCAGGATCACCCTGGCGGAAGGGGGAGGGGCAGGGTTAGTGCACCCCGCCCCCCGAGACAGAACACGCCCACCGCCGGCCTCCCTCAGCACCAGCCTGCTCCTTGGTGAAATGCAGAATTACTCTGAGAACTCAACAGATACCTACTGAGGACCCACACGTGGCAGGGAGCCGGCAGGGGTCGGATGCCCTGCCCTGGCCCTGCCCATCCAGTACACCGATGAGTCCTTTGGGTATTTCCACCTGACAAGTGTCAGCTGCCCTCCACTACTGGACATCTCAGAGCAAGGCCAGTTACTGCCACCTGCCTCCCGAGCTCACACTAGTGCAGTGGGGTGGGACGCAGGGTTCATACGGCCAGCCCCCCGCCCCGGCCAGCGCTCAGGAAAAAGGTGTCCAGTGGGTGGTCCAATGCCCTGGACATCCCTATGCAGAATGACTAAGGCCCTTCCGGGGGGGTGGCTGAGACTGACCCCGACTCATCGACCACGGGCGCCTGGTCGAAGCCCTTCTCCCGGAGGATCTCGATGGTGTGCTCACAGGTGACCGTGGGCAGCACTGTCAGCGGAGCCGACAGGCTCAGCTCCTGGACTCTGAGGTGCCACCACCTGAGGGAAGAGGGCGGTGAGCCGGCAGGTGTGACATGAGGGCAAGGTCACACAGGGAGACCGTGGGCCAAGCAGCCGGGCGCGGGGGAGAGCGCAGGCGGCCCAGGCTCCCGGGACGTGTGCTCTGCAGCCACCCCGGGTTCGGGGGTCCCTGCACGGCGGTGTCCTCACCAGGGCTTCTTCACCGTGAGCTGCTCCTCCTTCAGGAAGCCCTTCTGCAGCATCCATCTGTCACTCAGGAACTTGGACCTGCAGGCGCCAGGAGGTCAGCAGGGCCTGGCGGAGGGTCTCACCGCCGTCTCTGCCCACACCCAGGGGCACAGCTCTCAATACTCCTCCCCAGACCCCACGGGGTCCAGGAGAGACCCCCAAGAGGCTGGCTGGAGCTCCAGGAAGAGGCCTGGGAACCAGACTCTACTGTCCCCATGGGAACGGCATGTCCATGGGGCATCTGGTCTACCAGGAGGAAGGCGCTCAGAGCACAGCAGGGCCTGGTCTGGAATCTTCGCTGTCGGCCCCATCGGGCTCCCTTGGCGCCTCCTCCCCGGGCCCCCTCACGTCTGCTTAGCCACAGGGAGCAGGGGAGCCCGACCCACTTGGGTCAAACCTCCAGACCAGGCCTCGGGGGCTGCCAGGCCTAAAAAGGTGGACTGAAAGGGGGTGGGGGGATAGTAAAGGGAGGGGGCCAAATATACGGTGACAGAAGATGATTTGACTTTGGATGGTGGGCACACAATGCAATGTACAGATCATGGAGCAGAAATGTACACTCAAAACCTGTATGATCCTGTTAACCAATGTCACCCCCAATAAATTTAAATAAATAAGCAAAAATAAAGTGACACGTTGCATCTTCCAACAGGCCAGAAGGCAAGGTGGACCATGCAGCAGGATGCTGGTCTTCTCAGAATGGAAGAGAGGAAAAAATAAAAAATATAAAAAAGTAAAATTAAATCTAAAAATAATGAATAAATAAAAAGGTGGACCGAGGACCAACGTAGTGGGGAGAGATGACCCTGCACCCCTGTGAGCAAGACGGGCCTGTGCAAGCAGGCCCAGAAAACTGCTCCCGAGACGTGGTGGAGCCCTGGCCCGGGGGGGAGCAGAGCTTGCAGCCCTGGCCCCACCCTGCCTCCCTGCTGCCAGATCTCAGGGGAGATGCAACGGGAGCAACTGCAGCACCCAAGCGGGTGCCAGGGAAGGACAGGCCTGGGGGTGGGAGGAGGAAGGTTTCTTACATGTAGTTCCGGACAGAGTCGGGCAGAATCACCACACAGCGCTGGCCCTCCCGCAGCTCCTGCGCCGCCTTCACGGCCACTGACATGGCACTGCCGGCGCTGCCACCTGCCGAGAGGGCCAAGAGGGCCGGAGTCAGACCCACCGGCGTCAGAGGGAAGTGGGCTGGCAGGGGCCCTGTCCCAGCTTCTGGCCATGGAAGCCCTGGTGATGGACTCCCTCCAGCCTCTCCCAGCACCCCACCCAGCCTTGGACCCCCACTGATGGGGAGCCCCTGAAAAAATAAGAGTCCTGAGATCTCTGGCCCCAAAACACATGCACCAATGACGGTGCTGCCAGGTCGCCTCCCGGGGGCCACACCCCGGCCCCCACTGATGAGTGCGCCAAGTGCAAAGCCAACAGCTGCTTCCCTTTGCTGTCCAGCTGTCAGGCTCCCCGAATCCCCAGACCCTTTTCGGGGCTCCGTGCCATGGCCCATTCTCAGCAGGGCTGTGAAGCACAGAAGGCAAAGCGCATGGACCGCAGGGACCCCAGGAACCCAGGAATATTGACCCGGGGCTCTGGCCGCACTGTGAAAGGGCACTCCTGTCTCGCCTGTGGAGTGACCACTCATCTGGAGGACGGCCAGCTGCTCTCCCAGAGGGTTCTGTGGACGGACGGCCCCGGGGAAGCTGCCACCCTCATGAGGGTGTCCTTTAGCACCCGGACTGGAAGCTGGCAGAAGGCAAGCGCCCACCTGTCCTCTGCACCCCGGCCGCCGCCCCAGCGCCTGCCGCCACTCACCGCACAGCAGGCCCTCCTGCGCAATCAGCATGCGGGCAAAGGCAAAGGACTCCTCGTCGTTGCACTTGAACCACTTGTCCACCACCTGCAGGCAGGACCCAGACTGCCGGCTCCAGGAGGGGCTCGGGCAGGTGTGCGGGAGGGGTGGGGGCCCCACAGCTGTTCCCAACCTCACGGATGACCTCGGTCCAGGTAGCTGTGACCCTCGGCAGACACAGCCCTGCCCCTGCTCCGGGGCCTGAGACTCACGTCTACAAACCCAGAACTTTCTACCTCTCCTTGGTCCGGCGCACTCTGCACGGGGACACTAAAACTGCCCCCGGCTCCCGCCGCACGGCCATATGTCCTGCCGGCTGGACTCTGCGTCCCTCAGAATGATGCCCCCTTGTGGGTCCTTAGGAGGGGCCTGTTCTGGGGTCCTTACCTCTCCCACATTCCCCTTCCTCAGCCATCCGAGCTCCCTCCCCCTGCGGGGGACCGAGCTGTGCACACGGGCAAAGCCAAACCTCCTGGGAGTCTTTGCCCAGCAGGGTCACCTCGCTACTTGGATACAGGGTAGTCTGACCTTCGACACTACGCTTCCTCCACCTGCTCGTACAGGGGTGTGTCTCTGCCCCCGCCTCCCAGGAGGAGCCAGGCCGGGCACCGGCGGTCAGCCAGCCATGCAGACGCGCAAGCTGGGCAAAGGGCGGCCTGAGGCTGGAAGCAGTGACCGCGGCCCACGCACCTGCCGGTCCAGCACCGTGGGGATGAAGTCGTAGCCGATCCCTTCCACCTCGTAGGCTGTCAGCTCCGTCCGGTTCAGCTCCTCGGGCTCCGCGAGGATGGAGCCTTCGGGATCCACCCCGATGATCTACAGAGGGGGCAGGGTCAGGGCGCGTGTCCAGCAAGTGTAACGCGGACGTGCCCGGCTATCATCGGAAGCGAAGACCACCCCTAATGATCTGCCCGTGGGGTGCAGGTCTTGTTCCCAGCTCCGGGGCAAGACTCGAAACCCAGAAACTGGGGAGCTGGAGTGATTACAACTCCAGGGGACGGCTGGGGGAAGTGGTTCACCGGGGAAGTCCCCCCTGCACAGAAGGTCCCAGGACCACCTGGCACACCGCCCTGGGGGACACTGGAACCCTGGGAACAGCAGTGCTGGGCACTGGCCTCTTCCTGGACAGCAGAGAAGCAGCCAGAGGGAGGAAGTGGGCTCAGCGCCACCGCCAGGAATTTCGAGGACCCCCGTCCCGGGCCCACTCAACTCCAAATCGAGTGCCCCTCCCCGCCTCTCGGAGCCCCGGGTGGGGCAGATGCAGGACCTGAACCTCAAGGCTTAGAGCTTCTCAATGATCCTTGGAGGCACCCAAATCGGCTCCCGCCCCCAGCTCATTTGGTCACTGGATTCCTCTATCTCCCCGGCAGGGCCCGCACCCCCCTGGCAGCCCCGGGCCACTCACTTTGCACCCAGGACACTTCTCCTTTAGCTTCCTGGCAATGCCTGTGATGGTGCCACCTGTGCCCGCCGAAGCCACCAGCATGTCCAGCTTCCCTGATGGGGGAGAAGCCGTATCAGGAGGAACATCCAAATAGTAAGTGAAAAGCTACTCGACCAAGATGAAGGCACGTTATCAAGGCCAAGAGAGCTGTGCTCCGGTTTCCACAGCCTCTCATCACAGCCCATCTTTACGAAACACCTGTCACTGGGTCAAGGGGCCCCGTGAGCTGCATTTAAGTCTCGGCTAAATGACACTCGGCCACTGAGTCTCTACTTGGTGTAAAGCCCGTCTGGAGGCACAGGGAGGACAGACGTGGGGCTGCCTGCGGGACGGGGCACAGGGAGGCGCCTCTCGCACCTTCTCCTGCTGTCTGGTTTTGGGGGCTGCAAATAAGTGAACTGAGTTATAAAGGAAACAAATAAATCACTCAGGCTTGGCTCAGAAATCACCTGGGCTCTCCCGCTGCCGGGCGCCAGCCCAGGAATCCTTCAGACAAGTCCACGCGGGCCCCGGTACCGAGGCGGAGGCTGTTTTTGCCAAAGGAGAGAATTCTCACCCGTAAAACCTTGGTGAGCAAACGCCTGGACCTCACCGCCCGGCTCCCGGGCGTGGAACAAGGCTGCACTTAGGCCAGTGCCAACACTGGACTCCAGACGGGCGGCCAGGCAAGCATCCCCTGAAATCTCTTAGGGGAAACAGCCCCTCAGAAAACATCACAACCCCACGGGCCTTGGCACCAGCTGTGTGGAAATGTTCCAGGAGCCTCACGTCACGTCTGTACAGAGAGTAAGCGAATGGGTGACACCACCACCCGGGCTCCGGAAATGAGAAAACCTGAATATGGAATTTAATGCCCAAGTTGGGGCTTGACACCCAGTGCCATTCAGCAACATGAAGCCCAGCTGTGAGCCAAGGACACACCAGCCTAGGACACACTCACTCCCTGACTCAGGAGCTTCTACAGCTCTGGAGGACAGAAGGCTGGGTAGACAAATACGACCGCATGATATATTTGGTGTTTAGAAGAGGCTCACGCAAAGTCCAGGAGAGCACAACAGAGGCAGGAAACTGTTCTAGAGAAATGCTCTAGACAGCATTGCAGAGAGGGGACATTTGGTCTGGGTTTTGAAGGATGAATAGGAGTTTACCAAGGAGCGGGTAAGTGATTTGTACACTCCCAGGCAACCAGGGAGCGAGGCAGTGAAGATGGACAGAGGGGTCAGGATGGAAGTACACACCGTCACACTGCTGCAGGATCTCCTCGGCCGTGCTATCGTAGTGAGCAATGGGGTTGTTGACGTTTCGGTACTGAATGGAAAGAGAGCAAAGGAGCTGTGAGTGAAGGTCAAAGACACGGACAAAGCAGCAGCCATAGGGCAGCAGGCAAACAGTTCGGTGCAAGTCAGAGAGGATTCCAGCGGCTCAGAGAAGAGGCCAATGGCACAGGCCTCAGTTTTAGGAGCCTCAACAGGCACAAAACATGAAACCCAGCTCTTCAGAAGATGCGGCTTCTGAATTAACCAGGAGTGAAATGAGTGAGAAAGAAGAACTTCCAGTAAAAGGTTTCTGTGCATTTTACACCTGCAGAGGCTTCCAGGATCCTCACCAAGCGTGATGAACTGAGCCCGAAGCAGAGCCAGAGGCTGGGCCAATCTACTGGCCACAGGCTGGAGGCCCTACCTGGCCGGGAGAAGCCAGCGACTACGTGCCACTCACTGTCAGTCCCCTTAGCAGCCCCCAGTCCTGCTGCAAATGCGGCACCACCCCCACACCCCGGCACGGACCCCTCAGGAGCGCGCTCACCCCGGGGCCCGAACCTCACCTGGTCCAAGATGTGAGAATTGGGGATCTCGTTCCTCAGCCTCCACGCCACCCCCACATGCGACTCGGGGGAGTCAAACCTGGCATTGGTGGGTGTCCTCACGATCTCAGCCCCCAGGGCCCGCAGGACGTCCACCTGCAGAGGGACGCCGAGCCTTTACCCACCCGCTGGCCTCTCGAGCTGGGGCCGGGGTCCCGGGAGGAGGCTGGCCCGCCACCTACCTTCTCCATGCTCATCTTCTCGGGCATCACGATGATGCAGCGATAACCCTTCACCGCAGCAGCCAAGGCCAGCCCGATCCCTGGGGACAGCATGCGGGTGAGACCCTGCCCCAAGCGCCTGCAGCCATAGGGGACGCTGGAGACAAGCCCCGAAGGCCCAGGGAGAGGGCACTGCAGGATTCCCAGAAGCCCCGCATTGTCCCCTCTGCCCTCTGGGGTGAGAGAGAGAATTCTGAGACAAAGGGAAGTGTGCTCACAGGGAGGAAAAGCTGGGGTGCAAACATGAACTGCAATGCCTCCAGCTTTTGCTGGGTGCCCACGCCACGTCCTGGGTGCTTAGAGCAATAGCAGTGAGAGCAAATGCTGTGCACCGGCGGTGGGTGAGCACAGGCGCCCTTCACGGAAAGGGAAGGTGGCCCCGAAGGCAGGCAGGGCTCGGTGGGCCAGCCTCCCCCCTGGTCCCAAAGGGGCAAAGAGTCAGGGCCACTGTCCAGAGGACGGAACTTAGAGCCAAAGATTCCCCTCAGGTCTTAGGATCCAATGGAACCTGCCCGGCGGGATTTGCCCAGCTAGGGTTTCAGACTTGCTGGGGACCGGGCGCCCCTCCGTCTGTCCGGTTTCTCCCTTCGCCACGGAGGTGTCTGTCCTGTGCCTGTGCCACCATCGTATTTTGGAAGCTCAGGACTTGTCAGGTTCACAGCTGGAGGGGAGCCTGCCTCAGGAGGAACCTCACCCACATCTGACGAGAAGAGACTGAGGCGAGACCTTGGACAGCGGAGTTGATGCTGGGGTGCGTTAGGATTTGCGGGGGCCCCTGGGGTGAGGGAATGTATTCTGCATGCGAGGAGGACATGGATTCGGGGGCCAGACGGCAGAGTGCTATGGGCTGAACTGTGTTCTCCGAAATTCCTATGTTGAAGTCCCACCTCCGTCACCTCAGAAAGTGGCTGTTTGAGGAGGTGGGGAGGTGAAATGGGGTCACTGGGGTGGGTCCTAATCCCACTGGACTGGTGTCCGCAGAGTAAGAGGTGAGGACAGACCCGTGGAGAGGAGCAGCCACGCAGAGGCCTCGGGGGAGCCACCCTGCAAACCCTGCCTGGGGCTGCGAGGGAATCTGCGGGTGCTGCTCACGGAGCACCGGACACCGACGGGCCGACTGCAAGGCGCCGGGGGAAGGGGGCGCGGCACAGCGGCACGCACGCGCTCGCGCCAAGCGAACTGCCGGGAGGCGGCGGCCAGGAGGCCCGGCTTGTCCGCGCACGCACCTGTGTTCCCCGACGTCGGCTCGATGATGGTGTCCCCGGGCTTCAGGGTCCCGGCCCGCTCGGCCTCCTCGACCATGCGCAGGCTGATCCGGTCCTTCACGCTCCCGCCCGCGTTGAAGAACTCGCATTTGGCCACTGGGAGCCAGAGACGAATGAGGCAGGAACGACCTGGACCCCTAACTGTCCCCTTCCCCCGCCTGACCCAGCCCGTGCAGGGCAGGCCTGGTCTTCCCTGGCTCTGTACATCAACCCCTCTCTCCACTCCCCACCCCCCCAAAGCTGGCGGTGCTCCTCCCACCTGCGGAGGACGGCGGGGCAACCCCGAGGGAATGAGACGGAGGCGCAAGGAGCCCCCACTGGGTGGATGGGTCACAGCCCCCTCCAGCATGGCCAACAGGAGCCCACTGGGCATACAGCCATTGGGCTCATGGTCCACCCCTGGGAGATGCCCTTGCCCAGCGACACTAAAGCGACAAAGGCTCCCCACCACTCCTCCCTGCCCAGCGAACACGGTGTGGTTTCCTGCCTGAGGTCTTTGCTCTGCTCTTCCCTTTGAACGACTCCCTCCCTTCTCCTAGAAATATGTGGTGTTCACAGAAAGAGGGAGGTACTGCACCAAATGGGATCTGAAGACTGGGCCAGCCTAGGACACCCACAGCACAACCTCCGACCCAGTCTGTCCTGGTTTCTGAAATCCCACCTCCACCCAGACGTCCCCTGGAGCCAGGAGAGGCCCCTGCTGGGACCGTGTGGGGGTCTGTGTGCACGTGTGTGTACATGCACGTGTGTGCAGGGGAGGGGCTCCCAAATGCCTGACTGCTGAGCAGGCCTGCACCCAGGACCCTTCTGGTCTCACACTTGAATTATTGAGTTAGATAATTCTAACTAGCCTGAGGGTGCGCCAGCATTGAAGCCGGGATCCAGCGGGCCAGCTGACAGCCTCAGGCAAGCCATGTGACAAAGCCTCCTCGGTTTGTCCACGTGTGAAATGAGCACATTAGAACCTACACTGGGGCCACTGCCACGCTTGGATGCAGGGGCCCACATCTCTCTTACGTGAGGAAAGAGCACAGAGCAGGCCTGGGCCGTGGGGGTCTCCAGGGCACCCCCAGCAGCGTGCACTACTCATTGCTTCTTAGAGAATTCTTCCCCCAGACCGGAGGAGGGAAGGCTTTGCTGATGACGCCCTCAGGGGAATGGGCCCGAGGCCTCAGTCCCTCCCGAGTGGTGCCACTTCCTCAAGGCCTGGCTCCCCCTGGAGATGACCTGTCCTCTCAGGCTACCCCACCCCAGAGTGCGTGGTCCCCTCTAGGGCATCTGCCTCTGCTGTTTCCTCTATGACAAAGTGGCAGTCTACATTCTACTCGGGCTCTCTGCCCTGAAGAGAGGGAAAGTGAAGACCCCCCCCCCTTTTGTTCCTAGAAACCACTTCCGGCAAAGCAGTTCCTTCCCCAAATGACAGATAAGGCCAGATTCCCACTCTTTGTCTCGTAAGTGATGGAGGAACTGTCTGTCCCCAAAAAACCAGCCAAACACTGAGATAACCACTTCCTGCCCAGGTGACGACTGAGACCCTCATCACGAAAACAGTCCTGTCCTCACATCACCCCGGTGGCAGCGTGTCTGCTCCTCCCCAGAAAAGTCTAAGCCAGCCCGGTACTGCTGGGCTCTGGGCCTCCCCCTGCTCCGTCCAGGTGACATCACCCGCCTTCCTGTCCCAGGTTTGCCTGTGACACCAGCCAGAACAGGCCTCCCAGGGCTCCACACGCTCCCTCCCACGCTCAGGCCTCAGCTCACCGGTGAGACAGGCCAGTAAGCCAGGACTAGCAGAATAGGGAAACTGAGGCACCTAGTAAATCCCATCTTCCCTAAACCAAGGACACTTGAGAGCAAAGGGTTTGCATATATCCTCCCCAACCAGAGGGTAAAGAGCTTAAATCACCCCACTCAGGGAGACAGACAACAGAAATCCAGTTAGTGCCCTTTGCCACCCACACCCAAGGGCAGGTGAAGTTAAGGGGATAAATCTCACTTTGGTGCTTAGGCACAAAGCTGATGAATATTCTATTGAGATCCTTCCCTAAACAACCAGCCTTTAAAACCCATCAAAACCAAGGTCCCAGGGTGGTGCTTTCCCTCCCCTTCCCCTGGGGCGTGCATCCCCTAAACTCTAAGGGACTCCACCCCGCTTACAACCAGGAGCAGCAGTGGGCAGCAGCAATTCATCCCAGGCAAACCCCTGAGCCTGTCCCCAAGGCCCCCTTTTCTCTGATTTCTTGGTGAGCCAAAGCAGCCCAGCCTAGGCTCATTTCCCAGCCCTTTCTTGTTTCAGTCCCCAGCTTTCATAAACACCCTCTAAAATCCACCTGGGACTCGTGTTGTGAAATTTTTCCTGCATGAAGTCAAGAACCCACCCACCCACTACCAACTGGCGTAGGCAGACCGGCTCAGGGCCAGGGCCCCTTTCTGGTAACAAGGTCACCTCTCCGCTGACACTCCCGCTCGGTCTCTAGCACACGACCCTGTTGTACATTCTTCCTGATCCTACCTGACCCAGTCTTGGCCACTCATTAACCCTAAGGGGCCTAAGGGGCCTATCCCGCACCCCCAGGGACACTGAGCTGGCTGGGCAGAGCGCAGAATGGACGGAGCAGGTACTCACGGAGCTCACACTTCAGGCCAAAGTTCTTCCCGATCTTATTGATTCTCACCATGGGGGTATCTCCAATTTTTTTCAGGATATCTGGCAAGATTTTGGGGGACTTTGCCCTAAAACAGAGGAGTCCATCATTACTCAGAAAAACAAAACAGTACCAGCCTTGGCAGCCCAGCACATTCTTTTAAGTAATCAAAGAACTGCCCTGGCCAGGTGGCTCAACTGGTTGGACAGTCGTCCCCTACATCAAAAGGTTTCGGGTTTGATCCCCGGTCGGGGCGTGTATGGGAGACAATCGCGCTGGTCCCGCTCCCCAGGGACTCTGAGACAGGTGAAAAATGCTGCATTCCACCTCAGGGGCCCAAACAGTCAGCCACGCAGACAAGCTGGCATCCACCTGCCCCCTTCCAATGTGGCAAGGAGCTGAAAGGACAGCCAGGCCAAAGGCAGGGTGTCAGGGTGAAGGGAGAGCCTGGGCTGGGGGGCAAAGGGCTCCTGACCCCACTTTGGAGGCCAGGTTCTTAGGGCCGCACCGGGGGTTGACTCATTAACTACTTAAAGCCAAGGCCGGACAGAGGTAAACACCAGTCCGTGGGGGAGGGACTGGAGGGCTGGTGGGGGGCAAAGGTCATACCAGCTGGAGGCTGAGGCCCACCCACCACCAGGCAGGGGGTGGTGGACAGGCAGAGGACTCGGGGTTCCCGACTCAGTCACCTGAGAGTCTTGCCTGAGGTGATCGTGGCAGGACCTGGGGAAGCAAATTTACCAGGGGTGGCCCTGGATCACCTCCCAGTTGCTTTCATTTTGACAGCCTCTGGCAGGACAACCCCACAGCATCTTAGAATAATATCCAAGCTCCGTACCAGGGATAAGGTCCTGCCTGCCCCTCTCCCCTGAGGCTCCCACTCTGGCCCTCTTTCTAAGCCCACCCCACCTGGAACTGCCTTTCCCAGATATCCACACTTCTAGCACCTTCTGCCGATGCAGGTACCAGCTCCAAGGCCTTCTCCTAGCCACCTGCCAGCTCACCTCTGTCTCACAGTCAGGACCCCAAGGGCTGTCCCCTCCAGGGGATCTTGGTTTAGTGTCCTCCTAGCAGGTAAGCTCCAGCCTGACTTGGACCCGAGCCCAGCTCAAAACTAGGTACCTGAACTGGGACAAGTGGCGCAGGGCTCCGAGCTCCTGGATGGGATCATCAACCCCTTCAGGGCTTCTAAGGCGGGGTCATTAGGCCAGGAGGTGAGGGGCAGGTGTCACACTGCCTTCCCACCTGGAGAGCAGGGTGACCTTACCCCCCAGGACTGAGTGAGAACACCCACCCCTCGGGGGCCTGGTCTCTCCTCTGGAGCCTAACTCTGGCTTCCACCCGCTGCTCAGTTTGTTTTGGCACCGGGAGCTCATCCTGTTGGGCCACTGGCCAACTTGGTTTCCCAAGAGCCCAGCACTGAGATATGCTTGACGCCTGGAGCTTCTGGGCTTGTAAATTTCCATTTCTGTTTATTGGCCCCCAGAGGAGTGCACCCCTTTCTCCACCTCCCAGTTCTGATTCTAAAATCAATAATCATGCCCTGGCCAGTTTGGCTCAGGGGTTAGAGACGATTCCCGGTCAGGGGCACGTGCCTGGGTTGCAGGGTTGATCCCTGGCCCTGGGGCACGTGCAAGGGGCAGCCAATCGTCTCGCTCTCACCTCCATGTTTCTCTTTCTCTCTCTCTCCCTCCCCTCCACTCTCTCTAAAAATCAATGGAAAAAATATCCCTGAGTTTCAAAAAAAAAAAAAAAGAATAAATCTCATTAAAAAATAAAATCAATAATCACGAATATAGGAATAGCAGCTTATACAGAGTAAGAGCCAAACACCCAAAAGGCACAGTCTTAGACTCTGGGAGATTATACTACAGAGATAGAGATAATGCTAAGATTTCGTGAGCTCGAGTTGTTTCGCAATGGGTTGAGATTTTGTCTCTTTTTTCCCCTTTGCCCAGATAGGTCTCGAGCACCTAGAACAGGACACAAAATACAGCAGGCACTTAACAAAGACGGGCCCGACTACACGAATGTGTATGGCTTCTATTGTAGTTATGCAGGTAACGGCTACATTAAGTCCCCCTGGAGGGCTTAAGAAATTATGGTTTATTCATCCGATTGTCTCTGTCCAGCCTCAAAAAGAGCTCACTATTGGAAAACAGTTCATGACCGGGAGAAATATTTACGACTTAGAGTTAAGTAGAAAGGTGCCGGCAGGATCCTAATTGTTGAAAATACGCATACTCACCTCAAACACAAGCCTGCAGCAAGACAGGCCTGCGTTAGAAGCCCCACCTCTACCCGCCACTCACAGTGGTGACTTGGGCACTTCCATTTATGGGTTCAGCACCTACTCTTGTTGGGCACTGACCTAGGTGCTGGGCTACAGTGCAAACAAGCCTTGGCCTCTCTGAGCCTCGGTGGACTCATCTATACAGTGCCCGCAGCTCACCACCCATCGCAGTGATTGCCAGGGGGATGGGTGACACCCCAAGTCCACATGGCTCTGTGGCGTCCAGGTAACAAACTCCTCCCCTCCAGGGAAGGGATGAACCACCTTGTGATCGTAAACAGGGACTTACAAGGCAGTGTGGTGATGTGGAGAGTCGGTGATGGGCCTGCCCAGCTTCCAGGAGCACCTGCTCGGGGCATCGGGCCGGATCCACACGCGATCCTTGGTGTCGTCCCCAGGAGGCCCCTGCTCCAGGCTCCCTTTTGCTGAGAGGTGGGGGCACCCTGCTGCCCCCTCTTCTGCTTGGGGTGTCTCGGAAGGCATGCTGCAATCTATCAGAGAGACGGGGAAGAGAAGTCGTCTGTCCGGGCCATTCCCAAACGCTGCAGAAGAGCCTGCGGGGCCCAGGGACCTCTGCTCACCCGCCCCCCTGGGTGCAGGGCTCCGCTCATTCAGACAGCTCAGCAACAACAGGCACAAAAACACGGGGGGTGGGGGGGCCTCTGGACAAATGTGGTGGTTTCTCAAAGGTTAACCATAGAACTATCCCCACAATTCCACTCCTAGACATCTATCAAAAAATAAAAATAAAAAAATGGAAACAGGCATTTCCACACCACATTCATAATAACACTATTCACAGTAGTTAAAACGTGCAGACAAAGCAAGTGTCCACCAAGGAACGAGGGGATATACAAAATGTGGCACAGCCATAGGGTGAAACGCTGGGCCAAGCCCCTGGGATGAGCGAACAGAGCCTTTCTTCCCTCTGCCCCGCGCCTGGCCCCCGGGGAGGGAATTCTTCCATGGGCCCCCCACCCCGTGCCCACCCCACCGCCTGGCAGTGCCCCGGCCGGCGGGCGCTCGCTGGGCAGCATCTCCTGGGCGCCTC